CTTCACTTGTTGCTTCTTCAGGGACGATAAAAAATTTCTCCTCATCTCCCTTACCTTGAAATTTTGGGGTGCCCTAAGGACTTAGTCCTCTGGGCAGTTCCCTTCTTTATAAGCATTTACTCTTTAGGTGATCTCATCTAGCTGCATGCTTTAAATACCATCCACATGCAGAGGATTCTCGATATTGTATTTCAGGCCTCATTATTCCTCCAACTCTAAGCTCCTCATATTCAATTGCCAATTCAACCACTCCACTTTTATGATAGCTATCTCAAAATTAATACATCCAAAACCAAACTTTTTTTTTTGTACCCTAAGCACACACACATGCCTGCTCCGCTCTCAGTGTTCCCTACCTCAGTAAGTGTTAAGTCTATACTTTCAAAAATCTTGGAGACATCTTGACTCCTCCTGCTCATAATCCAATCCATTAACAAATCCTGTAGACTTACCTTTGAAATATATCAAGAAACCTCATCACTTCTCCTACTTAATAGCTACCACTCTTGCTGAAGCTACCATCATTTCCTACCTGGTCTACTGCAAGAGCTTTCTAAACCTTCTCCCTTCTTCTAGCATGACTTCCTAAATTCTAGTCTCAACACATCAGAGTTTTCCTTTTACAACCCAAGTCAGATCTTGTCATTCCTCTTTCCTATCTCACATAGAGTAAATCCAAAGTTCTTATTATGGTCTAAATGCCTTTCTTGAATAAAACCTTCCTACCCTAACAATTTCATACCTTATTACCATCTGCCTCCCACAATCCCAACCAACCCGTGGCCTCCTTGCTGTTACTCAGACATGCCAATCATTCTCCAGCCTCCATACCTACACATCTACCCAAATGCTCTTGGCTTCCTCCCACATTATATTAAGATATCTGCTCTAATAACATCTTTTTAGAGAGAACTACTTTGACCAACCCCTCTCCCTTACAATACCTGTGCATCCTCTTACCCTGATTTGTTTTTATTCTTAGGCCGTATTATAGATATATTATGTCTCCATTTGTTTATTGTCCATCTTCTCAACAGAATACAAGGACAGAGGCTTCATATGTTTTGTTCAATTCTGTATCCCTGGAGCCTAGAATAATCTTAGAATTGTAGGTTCTCAGCAAAGGTAGGTATTGGATAAAAACCTGAATAGGTAAATGTAGAAAGTATATGAAAAGGCTCTGTCTAAGGGGCATTCATGGAATATGAGGTACGTGAATAGTGTACAAAGCTGGCTGTGACAAGTGCATAAATCTAGTATGTGTTGATGGAGCTTCTCTGAAAATTGAATTTAGTAATGTTGGAATTGTGTTTTTAAAATTTATAAATGATGACTTACAAATATGGGTTAAAACAACTTTAGAAACCATTGCTTATACAAACATCTGTTACGTTTGTACTTTGTGCCAAGCACTAATGGAAGCACTATCACTACAAACAGGGAAACTGATATCACCTGACAATAGATTTGGGAGGACTGTAAATTGAGGGCTATCTAGGATAATGTAAAGAGTCTATATTTGGCTTCACCATATAATCCTCCTCTTATCCTGGTTAAATCCCACTCTGGCTTATCCCCACAGAAAGTGAGAAATGACTAACCCCAGTGTGGTAAAAAGGTCAAAGCTGGAGGCAAGGCTAGAGTTTTCTGCAAAGGGGTGCTACTTGCAGCCTAAGAATGAAATCCCTGCAACGTGTGTAGAGTACAAGATGGTACTCTGAAGTCTGAGAACTCTTGCTATCAGTATTATTTGTTTAACAGTACAGTAGCCCATACTACTGTCTTTTTGTGTATCAGTGTCATTTCCCATTGGAGGGCAGGCATCAAGCATGGTAACTGTATTACCTAGCACTCACTATATACTTATTGTTTAATTGAATTAAAGATTTGGCAAAATAAGGCAACATGCTAGTAGAGACATAAACAACATCCTGGATTAATCATCATCAGACATAAAATTTTATCCTATTCTTTGGAGTTTCTTGTGATCTTCTTTCACCCGTGGGAATAAAAATCTTTATAGACTTGAAAATCCATAAGAAGACTGAACTGGAATTTTTAATTTTTTTCAATCTAAGTATTAAAATAAACCAAGAACATGTATCTGTCAAAGTGACAGATTGGATATGGACTTCAAATAATATTGTGTTCTTATACAGTTCTTTCTAACAGCATCCTCCCACTTCAGACTTCCAGTGAACCAAAGTCTGGGATGCAAAGTAGCTCATTCATATTTTAATTTGGGCAAAGAGAATATGAACTTAATCTAAAACTTCCCCTATAGTTGTGTTATGAATTTATAACAGCAATTCCATAATTTATAGGTTGATGGGCTATATTTCCAAAATAACCTGGTATGACTAATGAAACAGTGTGTCACAGTTCAGCAACTGAATAGGTAATGTAGCTAGAGGGCTTGATTTCTAAATCATTGAACTTATCATGAGTAGATAGGAGAGCCTACATCCCTCTGTGATAAAAATAAAGAGGAAGGAACATGTGCCATGAGCCACAATGGCATGCACAATTTAAGTTTGGAAAAGGATATGAGAAACCATTTTTAAATTTTCTTATGTGGCAAATATTAATATTAGCCAGGACAGCTTCCTCATTTCAAATAAAAATGATGATGCGATGATGATGATGATGATGATGATGATGATGATGATGGTAACCATGTCTGTCATTGATTGTTTTCTGTATGCCAGGCACTATTAAGAGCATTAACATAATTATACTATGATATTCAAAAACTAAAAGCAAGATATTACTAGCTCCTGGCTCTATTTAGACATGAAGAAATGTCCTGCTTTTTATTCAACTGACCTTCTGCTTCAAAGTTCCTTTTCCACTCACGTATACTCTTACATTTTTATTGTCGGCCTTACTCTCATAATTTGATCTATCACTTTTTCTAAACTTACAAAGTTTTCTGAATTCCAGCTCTGATTCTTACTTTTCCTCTTCCCTCCTGGCAATCTTTATTGCCTCCCAAACCCTATTGCAACAAGAAACATATTATCCTTTTAAGACTCGCCATTAACTTAATCTTGCAACAGAGAATTCTTCAAACTCCCAAGTTGAAGAAAGATAACATATCAATTTAAAATGGGAATATGTATAAATTAAGGAGCCTTTCCCAGTTAAGACTCATAACACATAAAATGCAACATGTTCTCTGCCCTCAAAGTTAGCCCTGGTCCTCAGGCCAGAATCCATGTAAAACAAATACACAGACCTACCAGGCAAATACCGAAGAGCAAGGAAGAGATAAATAAAACTTATAATTTGGTTGTGGTCCCATTTAGATCATATGCAGGAAATATTACTTAATAAGTGAGGATAAAATCTGTCACTAGATAAATCAAGCAATTTGACCCCTTTCCAGGAAAGTTCTGGAATGCCTTCTACCAAGAATAGCATTCTAGTAACGTTTCAAGCTCCCTACACTTGTGTTGGTCAGCACCTGAAGATGCTAGTGAGAGAAACTGCTCACCACATTCCCCAAACATATCCTCTAGAATCCTATGCTATAACTGTGCAGAAAAAACTGGCTATTTAATCAATGCAAGAGTGTTTCTTTAAAAATATCCTCTCTTTTACAAAGAGAAAGTGATTGTTCATTCCAGAGATGATCTAAAAAAGTCCCTTTTCCTAGAGTGTTGACCTTTGATTAATAGGAAAATATGTACTGTTATATGAAGGAGCAAATCTAAAAATAGGGGTTTTTTATTAATAACTATTTCAATTAAAAAACTTTGCCCTAAACTGCCAAATGCAAGTTTCTCATGGCCAAGTCAACGCAAATAGAAGTTCAGAAAGCAGGCACTACATCCAGAGGGGAAAAAAATTCTAAGCATGCATAAATCACAAGATGCTCATAACAGGAAAAGGATTAAAATAGGGGTATTGAGCTAAAAAATAGACTTAGTAGATGTCTGTTTTCCATAACCAATTAACAATTTTATAAGCCAGCAGAGAGGTTAAAAGACTCCCAGTAATAGGTTGTTTATAATAAATTCAGCCTTAAAGGATAAAAGAGAAAAGGAAAAGAAAAAAAAATTTTTTTGAGAGGGTCTCACTCTGTTGCCAGGGCCAGAGTACAGTGGCACAATGGTAGCTCACTGCAGTGTCAAACTCTTGGGCACAAGTGATCCTCCTGCCTCAGCCTCCTGAGTCGCTGGAACTACAGGTGTATGCTACCATGCCTGGATAATTTTTCCATTTTTTTGTGGAGATGAGGTCTCACTATATTTATCAGGCTGGTCTTGAACTCCTGGCCTCTAACAATCCTCCTGCCTCAGCCACTCAAAGTGCTGGGATTATAGTTGTGAGCCACTGTGCCTGGCAGGAAAAGGAAAATTGAATATAGTCTGTCTTTGAAATTTTACAGCCATGATTCAAAAGTGTATTATTGTAATGAGATTAAAATAAAACATGCTAGATTTATAGGAATGCAAAAGGTCCTTCTAGAGAAAATAATAATAACAGCAAAAAAATCACATGTATAGGGCACTATGCTTGACTCTTTCCATTCATCACCTCCAAACATAGGCTAAGGTAGCATTTTTATGTTCATTCCAGAGATAAGAAAACAGAGACTTACTGAGGTTAAGTAATTTGTCTTCAGTAAGAGACCTGGCCAAGCTTTAAGCCCTTCTTGCCTGACTCCTGAGATTTGACTCATAAGTATATAGTTATTTTACCTCAAAATAGATCAAAGCAAGTTTGATGGCCATGTACAAATATTTTAAAAGGGTACTTAGAATTCCTTCACCTCAATGTTCATACTGAACATTTCTAGCATTATAACATATTTGGGTATTTGTTCAAATATATAGTATTTTTGTAAACAATATAAACAGCACTCAATATTAATTAGGTACTCACTATGTGCCTGGTACTCTTCTAAGAGCTTTGCATGGATGAGTCTTTTAAGCCTTACACAATTCTATAAGGTGGATACTATTATTACTATTTTTATCATTCTCTTTTTATAGATGAGGAAGGAAATCAAGGCACAGACAAGTTAAGAAATTTTCCCAGAACGATGCAACCAGTGAGAGATTCATAATGTAAGCCTAAGAGACTGCCTTCAACAACCATGTTCTTGACAACCATGCTATGAAGAATGTGTCATGCTGACCTAGCCATATTTTAAGTTTTGGATGAAATATATTCTCTATTTGATCATCATAACATGTTATTTACCAGATTATTTAATGAGAGAGGGGAAGGAAAATTTAAGAAAAATGGTATTATAATCATGATTCTATATACTCTAATTTTTCTAGAATTTGGCTAATCTGCATATTTGTCTCTATAACTCAGTTGTCACCAGACTTAGTAATTTTGGTCCAAAAAAACTACTGCAAAACTGGGTATGGTAATGTGTACAGGGGAGGGTGAGGCAGGAAGCTCCCTTGAGCTTAAGAGTTTAAGTTCAGCCTGGGCAATATAGAGAGATCCCTAAAAAACAAACAAAACAAACAATACCGCCCCCTCCAACAACAACAAAAAACTACTTCAAAAAGAATTTTAATGGTTTAAAACAAATGAATCATTTACTTTTATTCAGTAATCTTGAATTAGTTTTGTAATGAATCCATATAAATATCGATATAGACAAGAAAACATCATCTAAAAAGAATTATTATCTCCATTTTGTAAATTCTTTCTGATTATGAAAATGGTTATATTGCCTCTATAGTCAAATTCCAAACCTCAGAGTACTAGCCATCTAGATCACTGTTTAGTAGAAATTTAATGCAAACCACATATATAATTTTAAATTTTCTAGTAGCCACATAAAAAGTAAAAAGAAACTAATAAAATTAATTTTAGTAATATTTTATTTTATCCCTTATATCCAAAATAACATTTCAACATATAAGGTTATAAAACTTATTACTGAAATAAATTACATTCTTTTTTGTGCTAAATCTCTGGAATTCAGGGAATATTATATATTTACTGCACAGATCAATTCAGACAATAAATTTCAATGGTTAAAGTGAAATGTAGTCATAGCAAAACAATAAAGTTGTTTTTAATAGAAATTATTTTATACTGCTCCATTTTTAATTGACATTTAATTAAAATTAAATGAAATTTAAAATTCTCTTTCTTAGTCAACATTAGACACATTTCAAGCATTCAGTAGCTACACGTGGCCAGTGGCTACTATATATAGGTAGCACAGCTCTAGATGATGTCTTAAAGTTTAGCCTCTCTCCTCTCAAATTCAAGCTACAGATTGTTACCGAGGTAATAATCATTCTCAAACCCCATTTTCATAGCATCAATGCTCTACTCAATAATCTCCAGTGCCTTCCTAATAAAATTATTCTATCAAATTCAGAATGAAAGCATTCAACATCCTCTAACAAAGGGTAGCCTTGCATTTCCTGAATTCCCAGTGTTCTCTGCTTCCCTGAAGCCCTGGCTCCTCCACCCAACTAATCTGTGCATCTTATCCCTTATCCTTCATGCATGCCTTTTCTCTCCTTGGTGGACCCTGCCTCCTTCTCTTCCATTCATGTTGGTAATCCACACCGAAGTATTACGTTAACGAGAAGTATCCCTGATGAACTTTATGGCACAATGGTCACTCCTTTACCTGGTGTCCTTTTGGCATGCCATTTACTCAATGTGTAATATATTGTAATTTATATAATTGTTTAAACTTCTTTTCGATGTGAAAATAATGTATGCTTACAGTAGACCAAACTTTCACATATTTCACCATGACCAATGCACAACTTAATGTGCAAATGTGTGTGTATGTTGAAAAAGGTATGTCTGTTGGTGCAGTTTGAAGAAAACACTGCTCTAGACCTGCAGTCCCCAATATTTTTTTGGCGCCAGGGACCAGTATCATGGAAGACAATTTTTCCATGGACAGGAGTGATGTAGGGTAGGGATGGTTTCGGGATGATTCAAACACATTACATTTACTGTGCACTTTATTTCTATTATTATTACATTGTAATATATAATGAAATAATTATACAACTCACCATAATGCGGGATTAAATGTCACCGCTGATCTGACAGGAGACAGAGCTCAGGTGGTGATGGGAGCTATAGGGAGCAGCTGTACATACAGATGCAGCTTTGCTAGCTCCCCACTGCTCACCGCCTGCTGTGTGGCCCAATTCCTAACAGGCCATGGACTGGTATTTAGTGCACGGCCCAGGAGCTGGGGACCGCAGCTCCAGACTATATCAGTAGCAAGCTATAGGCATTATCGGAGTGCAGATAAAAATTAAAATAACAGGAACCAGGTGAGTTGGGTCACAGCTAGAAAACCTGATTTCTAACCTAGACAATAATTCTGCCACCAAACAGTGAGCCTGAGGTTCACATGCACCACAATTGGGGTAGAAAGTTTGAAACAGGAGAAAAAAGATAACTTCATTCACATTGATGACAGGGATCATTGCAGTGAGTTAGGAACCAAGTAAATAGCAAAAAAAAAAAATTTATTAAGCAAAATGGAGCTTAACTATAAATCCTGTAGGTGATAGGAAATTGAGATGGCAGATATCAAAGCATATAGGTGTGATCCACTGCACCCAGCCAATGGAGTTTTAAGAAACACAACTGACCAAAGAACATAATCATATTGTTCCTTACTCATGTTACTTCTCTGTATTAGCTAACCAATTAAGCTACAAATGACACAGAAAGAAAGGCAAACATAGACCAATTCATAGTACCCCTTTCTTTCAGTCCTTCCATACTCAGCAGTAAGGCAAAGGTTAAGTGTTGATAGAACGTGTGCATATCAAAACAGCATGATATGAAAACAAGTTAGTTTTGAGTAGCAGTTATACTGTTCTGGTAAGAACAAAATCCACATGTACACATAATTTCTTTTTAATTTTTGGTAATTATTTTTGATGATTCTATATATGAGATAAATAGTTCTTTTAAAAATTTTATAATTTTTAAATTTTTAATTATTATGGGTACATACTAGTTGTACATCTTTATAGGATACATGTAATGTTTTGATACTGGCATACATTGTGAATTAATCAAATCAGGGGAATTGGGGTATCCATCACTTTTATCACATTTATCATTTCTTTGTGTTATGAACATTACAATTCCACTACTTTAGCTATTTTAAAGTATACCCTAACTTGTTAATTATAGTCACTTTGTTGTGCTATCAAATATTTTTCATTCTATCTAACTATATTTTTTCACACATTAGCCATATCCACTTTTCTCCCCCTCTCCACTACCCTTCCAAGTCTCTGGTAACCATCTTTCTAATCTCTGTCTCCATGAGATCAATTGTTTTTACTATTCAGCTCTCATATAAGTGAGAACATGTGAGATTTGTCTTTCTGTACTTGGCTTATTTCACTTAACATAAAATTCTGTAGTTCAATCCATGTTTTTGCAAATGGCAGGATTTCATTCTTTTTTGTGGCCATATAATATTTCCTTCAGTATGTGTACCAAAATTTCATTGTCAATTCATCCATTTATGAATACTTAGGTTGATTCCAAATCTTGGCTATTGTGAATAGTGCTGAAATAAACATGTGAGCAAAGATATCTTTTTGATACACTGAATTCCACTCCTTTGGAGATGTATATATATATATATATATATATATACTCAGTGGATTACTGGGTCATATGGTAGTTCTATTTTTAGTTTACTGAGAAACCTCCATACTAAGGAACCTTCACACTAATTTATATTCCCACCAACAATGTATGAGGGTTCCCCTTTCTCCACATCCTTGCCAGCATTCGTTATTGCCTATCTTTTTGATAAAAGCAATTTTAAGTGGGGTGAGATGCTATCTGGTTGTAGGTTTGATTTGCATTTCTCTGGTGACTAGTGATGTTGAGCATTTTTTTCATATAGCTGTTGACCACTGTATGTCTTCTTTCGAGAAATGTCTATTCAGATCCTTTGCCAGTTTTTTAATTAGATTATTTGATTTTTTTTTTCCTGTTTGAGTTGTTGGAGTTCCTCATATGTTCTAGTCATCAATCCCTTGTCAGATGATTACTTTGCAAATATTTTTTCCCATTCTGTGGGTGGTTTCTTCCCTTTGTTGATTGTTTCCTTTGCTGTGCAGAAGCTTTTTAGCTTGATGTGATCCCATTTTGTCCAATTTTGCTTTGGTTGCCTGTGCTTTAGGGGTATTACTCAAAAAATCCTTGCTTAGACCAATATCCTGAAAGACTTTTCTCATTGTTTTTTTTTTTAATAGTTTCATGGATAGATTTAAATTTTTTATCCATTTTGATGTGATGCTTATATGTGGCGAGAGATAAGGGTCTAGTTTCATTCTTCTGCATATTGATATCCAGTTTTCCAAGCGACATTTATTATAGAAACTGGCCTTTCCCTGCTACATGTTCTTGGCACTTTTGTTGAAGATAAGTTCCCTATAGATGTGTGGATGCATTTCTGTGTTCTCTAGTCTATTCCACTGGTCTATTCAGGGGTCCTCAAATTTTTAAACAAGGGGCCAGTTCACTGGTCCTCAGACCGTTGGAGGGCCGGACTATAGTTTAAAAAAAAACTATGAACAAATTCCTATCCACACTGCACATATCTTATTTTGAAGTAAAAAAACAAACAGGCAAAAACACCCATATGCGGCCCGCGGGCCGTAGTTTGAGGACGCCTAGTCTATGTGTCTGTTTTTATGTCAGCACCGGGTTATTTTACTTACTATGGCTCTGTACTATAATTTGAAGTCAGATAATGTGAATCTTCCTTTAACTCTTTTTGTTCAAGATGGCCTTGGCTCTTCTGGGTCTTTTATGTTTTCATATAAATTTTAGGATTATTTTTTCCATTTCTGTGAAGAATGTTATTGGATGAGGATTCCACTAAATCTGTAGATTGTTTTGGGTAGTATGACATTTTAACAATATTGAGTCTTCAAATCCATGAGCATCTTTCTACTTTTTTGTATCTTCTTCAATTTCTTTCATCAATGTTTTATGGTTTTCATTATAAATATCTTTCACTTCTTTGATTAAGTTTATTCACAGGTGTTTTGTTTTATTGTAGTTATTGCTAACGGGATTACTTTCTTCATTTCTTGTTCAGATTGTTTACTGTTAGCACATAGAAATACTATTGATTTTTTGTATGGGGAT